TGAAAGGACATAGGCAGCCACCAGGCCCAAACTCCTGTATCGAATCATGATCTTTGGCCCCGACGATGGTGCCCCCGCAGACAGTAGATTGGCCCTGACACCTGGCACCAGGAAGAAGAGGCTGGGGCCACAGACGTCCCCCAGCATCCCCCATCCTAATGGCTTTCATCCCTCTCCCAACCCTTGACACTACACCTCCTCCCAACACCTTGCTCCTGCCTCCCTAGTCACCTACTGGTCACTACTGGAACTGCCAAAACCTGGCCTAGAGGCAGAAAGAAAGGGAGAGAGGATACTTTTGTGTTCTGTGGCCTCCCTGAGGAAACTGATGCCTAATGGGGTCTTCTGTGCCAGCCCAGTGATATCAGGGACTCATCACAGAGGCCACATTGTGACCTACTCCACCAAGGCCCCTCCTTCGCCTTGGCATTCAGCCCAGAGCCCAAATGACCAGGGAGGTGTGGTAGTCAAGGGTCCAGGGGACAGGAGGGCACAGAGGGAGAGGTTGTGTCCAGGCTGGGGTGGGTGAGCAGGAGGCAAAGAGGGAAACAGAAGGACCACCTTGGCGATGGCTCACACCTGTAATCTCAGAGCTTTGGGAGGCCAAGGCAGGAGGATCCCTTGAGTCCAGGAGTTCAAGAAGGGCCACCTGGAATCTTCTGAAGAGAATTTACTATACTGATGAAAGTGAATATTTGGCACCTTTACCCCTTGACACCTCTCAGGGGTGGACTTTTTCTTTTTGAGAACTGTTTTTTGTTTGTTTGGTTGGTTGGTTGTTTGGTTGGTTGGTTGGTTGTTTGAGATGGAGTCTTGCTCTGTTGCCCAGGCTGGAGTACAGTGGCGTGATCTTGGCTCACTGCAACCTCCACCTCCTGGGTTCAAATGATTCTCTTGCCTCAGTCTACCGAGTAGCTGGGACTACAGGTGCGCGCCACTGCGCCCAGCTAATTTATTTTTATTTTTAACAAAGACAGGGTTTCACCATGTCGGCCAGGCTGGTCTCAAACTCCTGAGCTCAAGTGATCTGCCTGCCTTGTCCTCCCAAAGTGCTGGGATTACAGGCTTGAGCCACCACACCCAGCCAATCTAGTGTATATCTTACACTTATAGTATACCTAAATTCAAACCGTTTTGTCAGAAACGCATGATTTGTAAATTTGATAAAATCATACAGTCAAAAAAGATTTACATACTCAAGTTATAACAAGCATACTGAAAAGTTTTCTAAGAACTGAATTGTTTTTAAATTTAGATTAATGAAAATAAATTTAAAATTTCCTTGCTCACTTGCACTTGCTACATTTCAAGGGTTCATCCATCATATTGGATGGCACAGAACTACAGGCTAATTTAATTCTAAAAGTCAGCAGTCTACTATCAGTGTTTACATTATTGTAACTGGATAAATATTTCCTATAGAGTTTGTAAATGAACTAAGACTACTTTTTTTGTTCATGAGTTCATGATACCTTTTTTTTTTTTTTAATTTTTTGAGGACAGTTTTTGATCTTGTTGCGCCAGGCTGGAGTTGCATATGTACACTGATCTCGGCGTCATGCAGCTCTGTCCTCCTGGTCATCGCAATTCTTCCTGTCTCAGCCTCTCTAGAGTAGCTGCGGATTACAGGTGTGGCACCCACTCACAGCGCCGGGCTAATTTTGTTTTTTTAGTGATGATGGAGTTTTCCATCAGTATCAGTCAGGCCCAGCTTGTGTTGTTATGTAATCATTCTAAGATTAAGGGGTGGGTCTCTACGCCTGTAATCCCAGCACTTCTTGGGAGGCGGTTAGGCAGGCAGGATCACGACATGGTCAGGGAGATGGAGATCTATCCTGGCGTAACCACTGGTGGAACCGGCGTCTGCTACTAAAAATATCAAAAAACTAGTACGGGGGTTAGGTTGAGCGGCGACCTGCTGTAGTCCACAGCTACCTCGGGAGGCTGAGGCAGAGAATGGTAGTGAACTCTGGGGAGTCTGGAACTCTGCATGTGAAGCAGCAGATCAACGCATCTGCACCTCCAGCCTGGGTCAGACAGAGCAAGATTCTGTCCACACACACACAGTGAAAAGGGCGTTGGGGATATGTGAGGAAGATAATAATCTTCTAGAAGTTTGCATGTCTGGAAAAGTCTATTATTCTTGCTTGCAAGAGGTTTGCATTGTGTTACTAAAAACAAAAGAATCGTTTTAGTTCCTAGACTCCTGGATTACTTAGTAAATGTATTTGTAAGTAGTTAGGGCCTTTGCATGTATACATATTGAAATAAAATTAATCATGAACTGAGATAAGGGACATGGCGGGTGCTCCAAATTGGATCTAGGTTTATAATGATTGAGGGGAAATGGTGCCAGGTAATTGGCTGTATCATGCCGTGTGATCCCCAGCACTGTTGGTTTGATCCTTGAGGGCCGAGGCGGCAGGTGACTTGAGGCTAGGATTGTTGATTATTGATTTCCAGTTTTTTTGGCCAACATGTGTGTTAAATCCCGTTCTTACTTAAATACATTAATAATTATGTTTCCAGCTGTTTTTGTGTGTTGTTGTGTGTATTACCTGTATCCTGCTGTTTGGGAGGTTGATGTCGTGTGACTTGGTTTGTCTGTGTTGAGACAGAGGTTGCAGTGGCTGAGTATTTTGTTACCACTGCATCTCCAGCCTGGGTGACAGAGCAAAACTCCATCTCAAAAAAAAAAAAAGATGAGGGAAATTTGGAAACAGAAGACACAGGGGAGTATGTATGCCATGTGATGATCGAGGTAGAGACTGGAGTGATGCTCTGATGCAGGGCAGGCAATCCCCAGAATTGGGCTTAGTCTGAGAGGGTTCTTGGCTTTGCCCTGATGCGATCCAGTGGTGTTAGCAACTTGTATTGAAGCGGCATTGCACAGCAGCAGCAGAGGTACACTGCTCCTTGTGGAGGAGGGCTACCCCATAGGCAGTGTGCCCAGAGTTAGCAGCTCAGCAGCAGCTCTGCAATCCTATTTATACCCACTTTTAATTACATGCAAATTAAGGGATGAATTGTGCAGAAATTTTCCAGGAACAAGCAGTCCTCCTGCCTCAGCCTCGCAACATACTGGGTGTGAGCCACTGTGCCCAGCCGAAAGTCTGATTTTTTATTCTTTGTTAACTGTAGTGGTTGAATTCTTGGTCTTGGTCAACAGACTGGTAAACTTCAGAGAGAAACAATTTGCTGGCTAAATATTTAGTAGTTTACAGGATGATGCAAAAGCTAGAGAACCAGGCTCAGTCTATTATGAGACGCAAAACATGGCCAAAGACTACCCCAAGAATGGCCCACCTGGAATGCCACCACTGCTGCCAACACAACTGGGCCCTTGACACTGGTAGTTTCAATATGGCAGATTCTTTTCAGCTCTTCCCACTAGGAAGAGCAGTTCATTTCCCCACTTCTTGGATCTTGATCTCACTTTATGACTTGATCTGACCAACAGAATGCTGCAGAAGTGACACTGTGAGGGCTAGGCACAGTGACTCACACCCGTAATCCCAGCACTTTGGGAGGCCAAGGCAGGAGGATTGCTTGAGCCTAGGAGTTCAAGGCCATCCTGGCCAACATAGCGAGACCCCCTTTCTACAAAAACAAAAATTAAACTTAACTGGGTGTGGTGACATGCATTTGTAGTTCCAGCTACTCAGGAGGCTGAGGTGGGAGGACCCCTTGAGCCCAAGAGGTTGAGGCTGCAATAAGCCATGATTGTACCACTCCATTCCAGCCTGGGCAACAGAGCAAGCTCCTGTCTTAAAAAATAAAAAAATAACAAAAAAGCGAATTGGAACTGAGGCATCTAAAAAAACTGGGAACCTCAAAATGCTAAACCTTCTGTGAAAAGTTGGGCCCAAAACAAAACAAACAAACAAACCAAAAAAAACCCCTCACCCTCCAGCATGGGTGAAACAAGGAGGTTTACTTCTTTTATCGAAATGGGTAAAGAGCCTCCCCCAACAACTCAAAGTCTGGGTTTGCACTTGGCATGAAATTGAATCTAAACTTATACCTCCTACAGGATCCAGGGGACCAGGCACATAAATTAACTCAAATATTGCCCCCGAGATCTGGAAGGCACGTCTGGCCCTTCCCTCCCAGACACTGTGGTTGCAGGTAAGACAATCAGGCCAGGATTTTATTCCATACCAGACTGATCTCCATACAATTTCCTCTTGCCCTTTACCCCCAGAGAAATAGGACATGTATGGACTCAGCTAGGCTGAGCTTGTGTGAACAGAGAGCTTGTCCACATGCTAGCTGATGGATGACTTCGATTTCTGCTTCTGCACTAGACGTGGGCAGTATTTCCTTGGAGCCCTTGGTCTGATTATCCTCCTCCCAGTGATAGAAACACTTTCCTTGCTATTCTGATCCAAATCCAAAGACGGTGACCTAGTGGATGAGAGAGGGACATATGTGTCAGCAGGCGGACTCCTGTCCTCACCCCTGCCTCCCTTCACTCAGCATCTGGGATGACAGGTTGCCCCTGGGAGCTGGGAGGAGACTGGAGCTCACCACCAGGAAACAGACTCTGGACACTCTCCTAGAGTCACTGAGGAGCCCAAAAAAGAGAATGTCAACTCGCTTCTTCTCATAATATTGGAGGAAGAGAGGGGAACCCCCAGGACATAAGAGAAGGGCATTCCAGGCAAATGGAATGGTGCATGAGGCAGCTCATGTGTCTCGGGATTTCTACGAGCCCATAATGAGAGCCTGGGAGACAGGAGGCAAGAGGAGGAGTCAGAACATGTAGAGTCTTTTTTTTTTTTTTTTTGAGATGGAGTCTCACTCTGTCACCAGGCTGGAGTGCAGTGGCACAATCTTGACTAACTGCAACCTCCGCCTCCCGGGTTCAAGCAATTCTTCTGCCTCAGCCTCCCGAGTAGCTGGGACTACAGGCATGTGCCACCACGCCTGGGTATTTTTTGTATTTTTAGTAGAGATGGAGTTTCACCATATTGGCCAGGCTGGTGGTGAACTCCTGACCTCATGATCTACCCGCCTCAGCCTCCCAAAGTGTTGGGATACAGGCATGAGCCACTATGCTTGGCCTACATGTAGAGTCTTGAAAGCCAGGCAGAAAACTTTAGACTCCATGCTGAAGGCATTGAGGAGCAGGAATTTTAAGAGAAGATACAAGAATCTTTCCTGCCTGGGCACAGTTGTGCAAGACACAGAACACAGCCTTGGGCCCCAGGGATGACACTGACCCTGGTAAGGCAGCCAGTTGTCCTGCTTGCACCTGGAGAGGAAGGGGGAGGGAACTGACCTGGGGCCCTTCCCACAGCAACCCACAGTCACATCCTACCCCTTTTCCTATTCCCCCTCACCATGTCTTTGCTATCTTCCACTCCACTAGGGAACCAGACCATCTTCCAAAATCTGAGAAAGAATTGAAGGTGGAGGAGTTTGGGCCATAAGACCTGGGAAAGTCCTGCAAGTGTCTCCACTAAGCCAATAGAAGGTCTTCCCAGAGTCCCTGCTGTTATTCCCTGCAGTGACCTCCCCTCACCCCCACACAGAGAGTGTTTGGGGACACCTCCTCCATCACCTCATCACTTAGATCATCTGAAGTCCACACCAGGTCAGAGAGCTTCTGCAGCAGCATCTCCAGCTGCATCCAGGAGCCCTGGTCACTGGCATTCCTGGGATAGATGAAGCATTGTGGGTGGTTTGGTTCCTCACCTTCATCTCAAAGCCCTAGACTTGGGGCCCGCTTCATCTTGGGAAGGGGAGCAGACACTGATGGAACTGTGGGGCAGGCCTGGCCCTCCTGTTCCCGCCCTCTCCCCAGCACCCACCTGAAAACCACAGGGTATTGGTCGATGTCGTTGCCAAGGGTGAAGCCCTGCAAGGTATGTGGGCACCCCAACAGCACACAAGTCCCACAATAGAAATCAAAATGGCTCACCGAGAGCCTGGGAATCACTTTAGACAGCTTCCTCCACCATTTCTCAAGCTGGCTTCCTGAGTTCATGCCCTGGAAACAGAAAGAGGGAGATTGGGGGCTGGGCCCAGGGGAGAGAAAACAGAGTTGGGTGGGTGAGATCTCCACCCAGAGGCTGTGAAGACAGGGCCAAGGGCAGGGATTTGGGCGGAAGGTGGGAGATGGGTGAGGCCCAGGAAGCATGGCAGATAGGGCCGAGCCCAGTATTGACCACTGACCAACCACCAGGGCACAGTGTCAGAGGTCATAGACTCTCTTGTCCTCAACAGGTACCCCGTGGTCTTCCTGGAGCATGTATCAAGCCAGTTCCATTTGTGGGCTGTGTAGCCGCAGGAGGAGCAGTTGAGGGTCTCAGAAGGGCAGCCACACTTCCCCGAACTGAACCAAGGGCAGTTGCAACGCCGTAGTACCAAGTACATTCGTTTTTCCTGGGGTGCTGATTCAGGTGTCAGATCCAGATAGGGGGTCATCAGCCAGAGGATGAGCATCCAAAAAACCCACAGGACAAAAATCTGCCAGCGCTTCATGTCTGACCCAGGTGGTGGCTCCCGTGGTGGGCCGCAGACTGGCTTCTCTACCTGGAAGGACGAGGGGCTGAGGCCACAGGCAGCACCAGCTTCCCTCTGTCCTGTCGGCCTCCACAGCTCCCCATCCCTCCAACCTCCACCTCCTTCCAACCCCTCCTCTCCTGCCTCACTATCCATTTGCTCACCCCAAAAAAGGACCCTGACTAGGCATGGGGTGGAAGAGGCCAGGGCAGAGAGACAGCATGTGGCTAGTCCTGCGAGGGGAAGGAATACCTCAGTGGGGCCCTTGGTGTTATCCCAGTTATATAATAGATCTCATCACAAAGTACACATTGTGACCTCGCTCCTTTAGCCTGCCTGGAAAAAGCCACCACCTTTCTCTGACACCCAAACAACCTCCACTGGATGTAAGCTACATGAGGACAGGGGCTGAGCTAGTCTCTCTTCTTCACCTCTGCAGCTCTAAGACTTAGAATTATTTAATAAATATTTATGGATAAATAAACAGGTGTTGAGAGGGAAATTTTTTTTTTTTTTTTTTTGAGACGGAGTTTTTGCTCTGTCGTCCAGGCTGGAGTGCAGTGACGTGATCTTGGCTCACTGCAACTTCTGCCTGCTGGGTTCAAGCGATTCTCATGTCTTACCCTCCCAAGTAGCTGGGACTACAGGCACGTGCCACCATGCCTGGCTAATTTTTGTATTTTTAGTAGAGACGGGGTTTCGCCGTATTGGCCAGGGTGGACTCAAATTCCTGACCTCAAGTGATCCGCCCACCTCAGCCTCCCAAAGTGCTGGAATTATAGGCGTGAGCCACCATGCCCAGCTGGGGAATTTATTTTTTTTTAATTATTATTACTATTTTGAGACGGAGTTTCACTCTTGTCGCCCCAGCTGGAGTGCAGAGGCATGATCTCGGTGCACTGCAACTTCTGCCTCCCGGGTTTAAGTGATTCTCTTGCCTCGGCTTCCCAAGTAGCTGGGATTACAGGCGCCCACCACCATGCGTGGCTAATTTTTTTTGTATTTTTAGTAGAGATGGGGTTTCACCATGTTGGTCAGTCTGTTCTCTAACTCCTGACCTCAGTTGATCTACCCGCCTTGGCCTCCCAAAGCGCTGGGATTACAGGCGTGAGCCACCGCGCCCTGCCCCAGCTGGGAACTTTAAATACACTTATGTGTGATGCCCTCTCTGGAGTTGTGTGACATCAACTCAATCCTCTCTTGTAGTCTCTATACCCCATATCCAACAGCCTACTGGATTGCCACTTAGATGGCTCAGCGACATCTCACCTGAATAAGCCTGACTGAACCCAGCATTTTCCCTGTAAACCAACCCTTCCCAAAACTTCTGTCTCTTGTTTTGAGACGGAGTCTTGCGCCGTCACCGAGGCTGGAGTACAGTGGCGCAATCTCAGCTCACTGCAACTTCTGCCTCCAGGGTTCAAGCAATTCTCCTGCCTTTGCCTCCCGAGTAGCTGGGATTACAGAAGCGTACCACCACGCCCAGCTAATTTTTTGTATTTTTAGTAAAGACAGGATTTCACCATGTTGGCCAGGCTGATCTCAAACGCCTGACCTCAGGTGATCTGCTCACCTCGGCCTCCCAAAGTACTGGGATTACAGGCGTGAGCCACTGCACTCAGCCTCAAAACTTCTCTATCTCAATAAATGATTCCACCATGTACCCAGTTATTGAAACCAGAACTCATGTATTCTTGATTCCTCCTACTCCTATGATACCCAAATTCTTTTTTTTTTTTTTTTTTTAAGGACAAAGTCTCTATCACCCAGGCAGGAGTGCAGTGGCACAATCTTAGCTCACTGTAGCCTGTGCCTCCAAGGTTCAAGCAATCCTTTTGTGTCTGGAATTGGTGGGTTCTTAGTCTCACTGACTTCAAGAATGCAGCTGCGGATGCTCGCGGTGTTACAGTTCTTAAAGATGGTGTGTCCAGAGTTTGTTCCCTCTGATGTTCGGACATGTTCGGAGTTTCTTCCGTCTGGTGGGTCTGGTGGGTTCGTGCGTGGTCTGGTTGGTCTCAGGAGGGAAGCTGCACGCCTTTGGAGTGAGTGTTATAGCTCATAAACCCAGTGCAGACCCAAAGAGTGAGCAGCAGCAAGATTTATTGCAAAGAGCGAATGAACAAATCTTCCACATTGTGTAAAGATACCAGGTTGCAGCTGCTAGCTGGGGCAGTCTGCTTTTATTCCCTTATCTGACCCCACCCACATCCTGCTGATTGGTCCATTTTACAGAGAGCTGATTGGTCCATTTTGACAGGGTGCTGATTGGCAGGTTTACAAACCTTTAGCTAGACACAGAGTGCTGATTGGTGCATTTATAAACCTTGAGCTAGACACAAAGTGCTGATTGGTGCATTTACAATCCTTTAGCTAGACACAGCGAGCTAGACGAAAAGTTCTCCAAGTCCCCACTAGATTAGCTGGACACAGAGCACTGATTGGTGCATTTACAAACCTTGAGCTAGACCCAGAGTGCTGATTGGTGCATTTACAATCCTCTAGCTAGACATAAAACTTCTCTAAGTCCCCACCAGACTCAGTAGCCTAGCTGACTTCACCTGGTGGATCTCACGCCAGGGCCACGGGCAGAGCTGCCCGCCAGTTCTGCGCGGGAAGCCTGCACTCCTCAGACCTTGGGTGGTGGATGAGACCCTGTGCCGAGGAGCAGGGGGCAGTGCCCATCAGGGAGCCTCAGGCCACGTGGGAGCCCACTGGTGCGGGGGGTGTGGGGCTTGGGCATGGTAGGCTGCAGGTCCCCAGCCCTGCCCTGTGGGGAGGCGGCTGAGGCCCGGCAAGAACCGAGGTCAGCGTGGGCCTCTGGCAGTGCTGGGGGACCCAATGCACCCTCAGCAGCTGCTGGCCCGGGTGCTAAGCCCCTCACTGCTGGGGCCCATAGTGCTGGCCGGCCGCTCAGAGTCGGGGCCCGCCGAGCCCACGCCCACCCAGAACTCGCTGTGGCCCGCATCCCGGGTTCCCGCCAACGCCTCTCCCTCCGCACCTCTTCACAAGCAGAAGGAGCCTGCTCCGGCCTGGCCAGCCCAGAGAGGGGCTCCCACAGTGCAGCGGCGGTCTGAAGGGCTCATCAAGCGCGGCCAGAATGGACGCAGAGGCCGAGTAGGCGCGGAGAGCAAGCGAGGGCTGCTAGCATGTTGTCTCCTCTCACTCTCACCTCAGCCTGCCAAGATGCTGGGACTACAGAAGTGTGCCACCACACTAGGCTTATTTATTTATTTAATTTATTTCTGAGACAGAGTCTCACTCTGTCGCCCAGGCTGGAGTGCAGTGGCACAATCTTGACTCACTGCAACCTCTGCCTCCCAGGTTCAAGTGATTCTCATGCCTCAGCCTCCCAGGTAGTTGGGACTACAGGCGTGCAACACCGCACCTGGCTCATTTTTGTATTTTTTAGTAAAGACGGGGTTTCACTGTATTGGCTAGGCTGGTCTCCATCTGGCCTCAAGCAATCCACCTACCTCGGTCTCCCAAAGTGCTGGAATTACAGGCATGAGCCCCTGAGCCTTTCTGATTTTTTTTTTTTTTTTTTTTTTTTTTTAGGTGGAGATGGAGTTTACCGTGCCAGCCCTGTCTGGAACTCCTGAGCTCAAGTGATCCACCCTCCTTGACCTGTCAAAATGCTGGGATTACAGGCATGAACCACTGCGCCCAGCCTCAAATCCATTTTTTAATTCATTTGTTTCTGTTTCTAAGTCATCTTCTTCATCTCCACTGCCATCCCCTTAATTCAATTGTAGTCTTGTAAAGGTAGTAAAATAATGAAAAATTTTAAGTTGTTTTTAAGGTTCAAGAAAAAAAACAGAACATTTTGGTTTTTTAAAAATCAAAACAGGCCGGGCGCGGTGGCTCAAGCCTGTAATCCCAGCACTTTGGGAGGCCGAGACGGGCGGATCATGAGGTCAGGAGATCGAGACCATCCTGGGTAATACGGTGAAACCCCATCTCTACTAAAAAATACAAAAAACTATCTGGGCGAGGTGGCGGGCGCCTGTAGTCCTAGCTACACGGGAGGCTGACGCAGGAGAATGGCGTAAACCCGGGAGGCGGAGCTTGCAGTGAGCTGAGATCCAGCTACTGCACTCCAGCCCTGGTGACAGAGCGAGACTCCGTCTCAAAAAAAAAAAAAAAAAAAAAAAATCAAAACGTTTTATTCAATGGGATAAGAACAAGTAAAATTGTTCATCTTAGCTAGAGGAAAGCTGCGCTGGATATTGCATAGCTTTTAAATCAATTCACCCAAAAATCTGAGTAAGGTCTGTAGGCTAGTTAATTATATCATACCAATGTCAAGTTCCAGGTTTTGAAAAAGTACCATATGGGCCGGGCACGGTAGCCCACACCTGTAATCCCAGCATTTTGGGAGGCAAGGTGGGTGGATCACCTGAGGTCAGGAGTTCAAGACTAGCCTGACCAACATGGAGAAGCCATGTCTCTATTAAAAATACAAAATTAGCGGGGCGTGGCGGCGCATGCCTGTAATTCCAGCTACTCGGGAGGCTTAGGCAGGAAAATCACTTGAACCTGGGAGGTGGAGGTTGCAGTGAGCCGAGATTGGGCCACTGAACATGATTTTACCTGGGCAAAAAGAGTGAAACTCTGTCTCAGAAAAAGAAAAAGTACTATATGTACTATATGGTAAGACACTACCATTAAGAGAAAATGAAGGCCAGGCACAGTGGCTCATGCCTGTAATCCCAGCACTTTGGGAGGCCAAGGTGGGGTTTGAAGCTTGAAGCTAGGAGTTTGAGACCCGCCCGGGCAACACAGCAAGACCCCTTCTCTACACACACACACACATACACAATTAGCCGGGCATGGTGGTGTGCTTCTTTATTCCTAGCTACTTGGGAGGTTCAGGTGGGAGGATCACTTGAGTCCAGAAGTTAAAGGCTGCAGTGAGTTGTGATAGCAGCACTGCACTCCAGCCTGGGTGACAGAGCAAGACTCTGTCTCTGAAAAAATAAAGCAAAAATAAAGAATAAAATGGGAAAATGGATGATGGGTACATGGGACTTTTCCGTACTATTTTTTACGATTTCTTGTGTGCCTATGGTTATTTCAAAATAAAAAAGTTTAAAAAATTATCTACCAGCCTGGGCAACATGGGGAGACCCTATCTCTACAAAAAATACAAAACTTGGCCATTGTGGTCCCAGCTACTTAGGAGGAGGCTGAGGTAGGGATCGCTTGAGCCCAGGAGGTCGAGGCTTTGGTGATCTGTGATCGTGCCACTGCACTCCAGCCTGAGTGACAGAGTGAGACCTTGTCTCAAAGAAAAAACAAATCATCTAGGAAAAGATGCATAGCAAGTTTTATTGCTATTTCATTTACATCAACTGCTATAATTTTTTTTTTCTTCTTTGAAATGGAGCCTTGCTTTGTTGCCAGGCTAGAGTGCAGTGGCCTGATCTCAGCTCACTGCAACTTCTGCCTCCTCAGTTCAATAGATGCTCAGCCTCCGGAG